CCCAATTGCTTGAATATAATTTATTTAAAATGTTATCTTTGAATTTCTTTTGTCAAAAATCAGTTGGACATATTTGTGTGGGTCTATTTCTTAGTTCTCTACTCTGTTTTATTGACTTAAGAGACTATCCCTCCACCAGCATGAAAAATCCCTATATGATTACCAATAAGGAATGGTTAAATAAATTAAGATTCATTTATATATCAAGAATACAGCAAAGTTAATATGTACTGATATAAAAAATATGTCCATAACATGTAGTTTAGTGATAAAAGTATATTTTAAAACAATATACATTGAACGATTGCATTTATTACTATAAGAAGACGTGCAAGATATATGGCTTAGTTCAAAGCATGTTACAGAGCAGTATGCAATGAATAAATACATTCAGGTAAAATAAATGTAGGGACACAGAAAATTTCTTCCCAAAATTCATAAAAAGAAACTGCTATTATAGTTGACTCTTAGAAAAGGAACTGAAGGAATAGAGAGAAATAAGAAGAAACTCTGTTTTTCACTTTTTACCCTTCAATATTATTTAAATTTTTCACTAAGTATTTTTTAATTTAAAAAGAATAAAAATACAAACATAAAAATAAAAAAGGATTCAAGCATAAAGCAATGATGCAGTAGGTAAAGGGATAATAAATTAACATAACTAAAGTAAGTATAATTTCCATTTTTCTAACAGCTTTGATGAGTTCAAATTTTTACAAATATAATAAGTGACATGCTAATAAACCCAAAGATAAAAACTGTTTATTCTTAATTTAGCAAAATAATAAATGAAGGCAGTAGGAAATAAATATGTATCTTCTATCACTAGCAATTTAGTAACTCACAAGGAGACTGAAGGCTTTGGTCACCTTTAATTTTGTGTGAATCAATTCATAGCATCCCTATCTGTTGCTATGGGAACAACTGTGACCGAAAAAGTCATAGCCTCATTGTTGAATCTTCTCCAACAGGAAAAGAGGAAGGTTTTTTGAGGTGGTGAAAAGCTACAAATGACCTTATTAATTAGCAGACTTAATAAGAAAAATTCTGGACAGTACACAAAGAGAAAACACACCCATGTCTCAGTGCCATGCACAGAAAGGCTTTCCTTTACACAGGCAAGCACTGCTCTGCCTTTGAAAGCCATGTTCTATTATTGCTGTTAGATAATTCTTTCATTTCTAGAAAGAAAATAGTTAAAGAGGTTTCTATTTAAAGTTTTTAAAAGATATTTTTAAGCACTCCTCATTCTGCCTAAGCAACCAACAATATCATTTCTTCCTCATTCTCTATTAAGAACATGAGAATTTTAATGTAGATGCAGTACATTTGGCAACAACAATTAGGCTTACTGTTCAACATGATAGCTCTTGTCTTCTGCTGCAAGAACAGATTTCTGAAGAGGACAATATTGGGTGGCATCACATGTTCCTGACAATCATTAGAGCAGGGGTCCTCAAACTACGGCCCGAGGGCCACATGCAAATACAAATATTGTATTTGTTCCCGTTTTGTTTTTTTACTTCAAAATAAGATATGTGCAGTGTGCATAGGAATTTGTTCATAGTTGTTTTTTTAAACTATAGTCCGGCCCGCCAACGGTCTGAGGGACAGTGAACTGGCCCCGTTTAAAAAGTTTGAGGACCCCTGCATTAGAGGAGGTGCCTGTCAGTAGTAATGTTTTGAAAAAGGGAAATCCAGCTTTAAACTTCCTTTGTGGGAAGGGAACCATTTTTTTACTCATTGATATAAGATGTAGAATGATGTAAATCAATTACTGTACCACCCTCTAAAGTAAGAAAAACAAACAAAATGAGAAGTTAATGACCGATACAAAAAAAGACTAAGTCGCACTTTGTATCTCTGTTAGGCTCCGATGCATGCAAGATTATTCCAGTCGATTTTCTCCCTTAAAAGCCATTAGCAACAAATAAATTGATCTCAAATTTAAAAATCATTTTGATTTAATGTCATATCTTTTAAAATAATCTAGACATTTTCAATCTATGGGCTATTATGCAATTAAGGAACAGTGAAATTCTAATTTTATGTACTTTTCAGAGCTGCTATAAATCCAGTACCTAATTGGCTTGGGGAAAGGAGTTGGAAACAGAAGGTCAAGAAATAATTCCAATCTCCCTCGCAGGAACTGTGGCAGCGAATACTAAACAAAGCACTCAGAGCAGGTGACCAAACAAGCCTCTTTCACAGGAAAGGAAGAGAAGGAAGTTACTATTGAAAGTCTACTATTCATTCATTTCTTCATTAAAAAAAAATGTGGCAACTAACGATTCTGTAATGAATAAAACTTAAAAAGGTCTCTAGTCTCAAGAAGCTTTCCTTCTGGTAGGAGAAACACATACCAAACGGAAAAACAAGTGAGTGAGTAAGATAATTTCATATAGTCTTGAGTGGAACAGATTTCCAGTCCAGACGGTTCTGTAAGTTTGGTTCATACTTTGGGGATACCGTCCTCTTCCAAACACATAGCAATGAAAGAGAAAATGCAAATGTGAAAATGAAGGACACAGTCATGGTCAAACACAAGATGAACATCTTCATGGATGAGAGTATAACAGAAACACATAATGGTAAGGGGGTGGAAGCCGTGGACCTTTAGGGCTTTGGATCCAGAAAAAGGCAGAGAAAACCAGGAGCTCAACTCTGAGGGGTTAAGTACAGATTTAAAGTGCCCATGCAAGACAGGAGTGTTGAATATGGGCTCACTGCTTGAAATTATGCCCAGGCACTGGGATCTCCTACTTAAAGAAGAAGCTGAAAGAACCAGGCATTAATCAAGCCTGGATCCGTGGCCTCTTAAAGTACCACACCCAAGTAGGTGAGAGGACACAAACCAAACTTCACCACAACTGATCCTCAGCACCCATTGGTCTGAGAACCAGATCTGGAACATCTCTGATATGAGCACAAGGAAGGAGCCCCAAGCTGCCAGTGTAAGTCCTGAATGTGGACCTGTGACCTTAGGTGTCAGAAGGAAGCCAATGAAAAACTATTAGGCAGGAAAGGACTGTAAGGACACTCAGAAAGAAGAAAGATTAAAAACTTGAGCCGCTCTGGCCAGTGTGGCTCAGTTGGTTGGAGCATTGTCCTGTATACCAAAAGGTGGCGGGTTTGATTCCTGGTCAGTGCACATACCCTGGTTTCGGGTTTGATCCCTGGTTGGGGCGCATAGTGGTGCAAGGTGGCCAATTGATGCTTCTCTCTCACATCAATGTTTCTCTCTCCCCCTTCCTCTCTCTTTAAAAATCAATAAAAAGCATATCATTGAGTGAGGATTAAAAAAAAGAAAACAAATTAAATAGAAATATTAAATATCAAATGTAAAAATAGAATACTGAAATAGAGAACACAGATGGGATAAATAGTGGAATGGATATAGCTGAGAACAAATCAGTAAACTGAAGGTCAGATTGAGAAACTTTAGAAGAAAAAAAGAAAACAGCCACTCTGGAAAACAGTTTGACAGTTTCTTACAAAACCAGCAATCATACTCTTGGATATTTATCCCAGAGATTTGAAAACTTTATATACAAAAACTGTACACAAATGTTCACTACAGTTCTATTCATCAACAGCCCCTAACTGGGAGCACCCAAATACCTTTCACTAGGTGAATAGTTGAATAAACTCTGATATATCTATAAAATGGGGTGCTTTCAAAATAAACAATAAAAAGGAATGAATTATTGATACATGCAACATCTCAAGAGCATTATGATGAGTGAAAAAAAAATCTATCTCAAAAGGTTACATTTACATAGCATTCTAAAAATAACAAAACTATAGATGGAGAAAAGATCAGTAGTTGCCAGGGGGAGGTTGTCGGGGGTGAGATTGTGTAGGTAGCATAAGGGCATGAGGGACTTCTTTTGTGAGGATAGAACAGTTCTGTATCTTAATTTTGGTGCTGGTTATACAAATCTATCTATACTAATAAAAGGGTAATATGCTAATTAGACCGATGTCTTCCAGACATCCTTCCAGATGTCCTTCCGGACAAAGCCACGGTGGCGGGGGCTGAGGCCAGAGTGGTTAGGGGCGATCAGGCTGGCAGGGGAGAGCAGTTAGGGGCGATCAGGCCAGCAGGGGAGAGCAGTTAGGGGCAATCAGGCAGAGTGGTTAGGGGCGATCAGGCAAGCGGGCAGGTGAGTGGTTAGAAGCCAGAGGTCCCAGATTGCGAGAGGGTGCAGACCGGGCTGAGGAAACCCCACCCCCCATGCATGAATTTCGTGCACTGGGCTTCTAGTACTTAGAATAAAATTACATAGAATGCACACACATACACACACAAATGGGGGTTAAAAAATTAAACACTGAATTGAAAATTGTAGTCTATTTAGCTGTAACATACCAATGTTCATTTCCTGGTTTTGATATTGTACTTCGGCTATGTAAGATGTCAACATTGGGTAGGCGGGGGAAGGGTACATGGGACTCCATACTATTTCTGCAACTTCCTATAATATAATCATTTCATAACAAAATGTTTTTTAAAACTGAGTAAAGAATGATAAACTGTTCAAGAAATTAAATATTGTTTTTCCACAGAGATTCAAATAACACAAGATCCTTTCTCACACTATATAGTAAAATTCTAGAGGGCATAAGGATTTCAACATTTAGGAAAAAAAAAGTACAAGATCTTTATTATATTAGGATAAAAAAGATTTTTAAATGCACAAGCTATAAAGGGAAATTGATAATTTAATCTTATTTAAAACTCTGTATAACAAAAACAAAGTTAAAAGACAAGCAGTTTCTCTTAGAACATAAGAAGCTGCAAAAGGCAAGAAAACCCACTCTCCCCTAGAGCCTGCAGAAAGGAACACAGCCCTACGGACACCTTGACTTTAGCCCAGAGAGACCATGTCAGACTTCCAGCCTTCAGAACTGTAAGACAATACATTTGTGTTGACTTAAGGCACTAAGTTTGTGGTAATTTTTTAGAGCAGCAATAGGAAACTACTACAGCAACTTACCTCTGTTGATTTCCAAGCAGTGAACTTGAGAGGTAGTGTTTCCTGGGACAACACAGCATCACCAGGCTGCTGAATGTCTTGCCACTGCTCTTGTTTCCATCCAGCCTTGGAAGTGTTCTCTGTCAATGACATAAAGAGCCGATTTTACTTTGGCAAAAAATTGTAATGTTTTTACATTACCTCATGATTTTTAAAGTAATCACTTCTGAAGATCCATTTTGCCTACAAAATATACATGATCTACCAATGGTTACCTATGAATAGTAACCACATTTATATAGCCCTTTATAATAATAAATTGAGACAGATTTCAAAAATACAACTTCAATTCTAACCCTTCCCTCATCAACAATTTTTATTTTATAGATTATTTGAGACATCTTTTTTAATATAAGGCATAATATTGAATAGAAATAGAGTTTGAAAATGTGAAAATGATTCAAATGAAATGTTAGCAAAATAGGAATAACTATAATTATTCTAAGTAATACTTTTTAAAAGATATTTTTATTGATTTCAGAGAGGAAGAAGGAGGGAGAGAGAGATAGAAACATCAATGATGGGAGAGAATCATTGATTGACTGCCTCCTGCACGCACCACACTAGGAATCGAACCCGAACCGGAACAGGGGCATATGCCCTGATTAGGAATCAAACCGCAACCTCCTGGTTCATATGTCAACGCTCAATCACTGAGCCACGCTAGTCAGGCTCTCAGTAATATTTAAAAGAAGTTTATTACTGCTGTGTGAACTTCATGTGTTCTAAGCAAAACTATCAGGAATGTATAGATAATTTGATAAGAAAGAATTTTTAAAGAAAATTTTTTTAAAACTTAAACATAAAAGAATATGCCAATGAAAATAAAGATATTTCTGCTTATACATTTTTACTAAACTGAACATTTTTGTAGTCTTAATATCACTTCCTCCCTATGTTAATTGCTATGTAAACAAGGTATTAGTACCAACTCTATATCAGCATACTATTGGGTACAATAAGAAGTACAAGAAAGCTATTTTCAAACTGGTGCATGCACAGCACGGTGGGAACTTGAATACTTCCTAAGGACCAGGTGGGCACAGATCATTTTAAAGGAATCAATATCCAGGTCCACAACTTCTGTATCTATTCTTTCCAAAAACTGATCATTCTGAGAATGCAACTATGGAGAAGCATCAGGCTAGTTCTTTCCCCTTTCCCTTTCACAATCAATGTTATGCCACTTTCTAAAGACAGACATAATCTTAGCCTAATCCTATTACGGTACATCTTCCCTTCAGTGCAAACATAAGAACCTCTAAGGCACCAAGCAATAGTAAAAAAGACGGAGATGGGGTCACCCCCTTTAATCAAGGCATGAAAAATCCAAAGTAGAGCCTCAAAGCTTTTCCTGTCAAAGTATAGCAGAGGTAACGGGGAATTTTGGTCCATACCAGGATGTTCGGTATTCAGATATATTACAGCATGGAGAAGCAGAACAGTTGACAAGTTTCATTTAATGTGGTTCTGCTTTACACCTCCCATCTATTGCCAAAGAATGCACCCTTCCTGAGAAAGAGTCCCATGAGAAGAAAGCAAAAAGCCTGGGAGGCAGGGGCCCTTATTTCATCAACGCAACAACCTTATGACAAGGCTCCATGCCTTGGCTTTCTACCTTAGGAAGAGTCCAGGAGTGTGAATACAACCAGAGTGATGTTTGTTTGCACGTTTATTTGAATAAATAAAGTAGGATATTTTATTTTAAAATATATGATTTGGTTGGTTGTTTTGACAGTAAAGTCTGCTTTTGCCAATCATGGTAAATAATTTCCAAAAATTGAATGAACCAAACCCACAGTTCTAAATAGTTGATTAAAATATATTTAAAGCATATGACACATAAAATCATTTTCTCAAAAAATTCTTGTATTGACAGATATATTGCAAGAATGTTTTCCTATTTCCCATACATTCTGAGTATATTGTGCTAAGTGTAACAGGTATAATTAACAGTCATTCAATAAATGTTAGTAAAGGTTTTTTTAGTATTATATTCAGAAACTGAAAAAGTAAATTATTCCTACTGACTGTTTAACTGCTTAGTCTTTTTCTAAGTAGGGTATTTCTAATCCTTTGCTTTCAGCAACATGAAGAAAGACCTATTCAAGTTAAGAGTTGACAAGAGATGAAAAACATTTTTATAATAAACCAATATATATTTTTTGGCATATTATTTGGACGGTATTCATAGAATTGACATTGCATAATAAAATACCTCCTATTCCTACCTACAATTTTATGTGAACAAGTCTTCTCAGCATTTACATATATAAAAATGTAAAACAAAACAGAATTCATGCTATTATTTCTAGCAATAGGTAATGTTCATACATAGGTAAATGAAAAGTTCCATGCATCTCATAAAAACATGAATTTCCAATAAAAATTGTATCCTTTAGGTGTTTTTTATTTTAAATATGTTTTTATTGATCGTAGAGAGGGAGAAGGAGAGAAACATCGATAGGCTGCCTCCTGCACGCCCCCTACTGGGGATCAAACCCACAAACCAGGCACGTGCCCTGACCAGGATTTGAACTGGTGACCTCTCTGTGCATGGGACAACACTCAACCAACCGAGCCACACTGGCCATGGCTCCTTTATGTTTAATAAGTATTTATAATACATTTATGTGGTTTTGATTTTGCCTGATTATGTACTAAGAATAATTGGAATGATAAGGCACTCTAGAAGAAATACTTTACCACTTAAAGCCTCTGATCAGAAAAAATTTAAAACTAATTTCAATTTATATACATATTTGATTATTATATACAAATTATATAAATATTTTATGCTTGATTTGCCTTTCAAGCATAAAATACTTTCTATTAGGGTAAAATTCTGGGAAGGATATGGAACAGAAATATGACTTCAAGTAGAAAAGGGAATAATGTAAAATTTCCAACAGTTAAAGAGGACTTCATGTATTCTTTTCAAATGAATGGCTATAAGTATCAATCACAATAGCATTTAGATTTCGTTAGATACATTTAAATGTCTCATGTGACCCTAACCAGTTTGGCTCAGTGGATAGAGCGTCGGCCTGCGGACCTTGGGGTCCCAGGTTTGATTCCGGTCAGGGGCATGTACCTTGGTTGCGGGCACATCCCCAATAGGGGGGTGTGCAGGAGGCAGCTGATTGATGTTTCTAACTCTCTATCCCTCTCCCTTCCTCTCTGTAAAAAAATCAATAAAATATATATTTTTAAAAACATTTAAAAGTCTCATGTGATAGTTTTTGTTTTGTTTTCTTTTATCTTCAATGTCAATATTTTTAATTACATCCTTTGTGCTTGCTTATACTTATGATAATATTCCACTTCAACTTCAAAATGTGTAAGAGGCATGTAATTTTTCAAAATAATTTTAGGGATTATGCAAGAAAAAATAGCTTGAAAAGCAATGGTATAAGACATGGATTGTCCTTGCCTTCAAAAAGTTTTAGCCTGACTAGAAAGATAAGTCTAACATACAGACTTATGGAAACAATTAAGGGAGAATAATTACATGCCAAACTTCTTTAAATTAACTAACTTTAGGACTAGACATACTAAGGAGACAAAAAAAAAACCCACAATGTATACCAGAGTAATAATAAAGAGCCTTAAATAGGAAGTAAAATTTGAATAAGCTTTGAATGATGGCTAGGTTTCTGATAAATGTGGAGGGAGAAATTATTTCAAGCAGAGGGTCTACACAGGCAAAGGCAGCAAGTATGGTGTATACCAAGCATGTCAAACTTGCGGCCGGCTAAATGAGGCATGCGGCCCGCCAGCTGCGAGTTTGACATGCTTGGTGTATACCAAAGACACTAAAGAAAGAAATAAGAACTTTGCATTTATGTTTCTAGCTTTGCATTTTCTTATAACTTCCCATGAAAATGAATAATTAAAATGAGCTTATTTTGGGATTGGAGCTTATTTTGGGATTGGAGATTTTAGAATTAGTGCTGGCAAATAGTAGGTTTGAGGCTTAGATCATCTATGTATTTTCGTGTGATTTAATCAGGAACTATATCATCACTCTTTGAGAATTCAGCAACAAAATCATCCTTGAAATGATAATGACCTAGATTTCAGACATCATAGATTTAAAAAAAAAATTCAGGAAGTCAATGTTGAAGTGTGAGGAAACTGAAGAATAGTAAGAATTGTGAAAGAAAAAATATCTTGCATATTAGGAGATACATTTTAGCCTAAAATAGCTAAAATGTTACATACATATATTAACTAATCTTACAGGGGCAAGAAGGAAGACAGTTATAATATAGTGAGTTTATGGAAACTCATTTAGAAATTTTTTTAGAATCAAGCAGCCCAACACTGAAAGTGAGGTGTGTTTAATTAAATAAGATCATTTTTGGATTTCACAAGCAAATGGAAAGGGATAACACACATTTAGTTCCTTGTGGAAATGAAGTCCCTTTGGTATCATAAGCTACTTATCAATTGAGACTGTGAACTCACATGCCAAGGAGGACCAGTATATGAATGAGAAACCTCAAAGCAAAAAGTGAAGATGCTACAGGAAATAATGCTAGTGAGTCATTCGAAGATGAATGCTTAGATACCAAGGCTGTAGGCACTTTGTAGAAACTATCTAGAGAGAAGCTGTAGATCTCGTTGAGCCTGTACCCTCAGATAATACCACAAAGCAGAACTGGTAGACCCTGTGATACTTCTTAGATGAGATATCAAACTGACATTCAAACTATCAGACATTAACAATGCAGCAGCACATCTTGGAAATGAAATGTTCCATAAGTTGAACAAATTCTCAAATTGTTCCATTTATTATTTAACATATAATAAACATTGTTGCTATGTATTGACAGTGTCCTTTCAGGTATAATTTAAGTAAATTAGTCCTTTACTTAACAAAATTAATTTTTAAGAATAAAAACATGTTTTAAAATAAACAAGTTAATTTTAAATAACAAACAAATCCATCATAGAAAACAGTCAGGGGATTGACCAAAGAACATACATGCATAGCCCCTGGACAAAGACAATAGTGTGGTGAAAGCTTGGGGTTTGGGGTAGGGGCAGGGACCGGTGGAGGTGGGCAAAGAGGGGG